TTGCTGCTGAACCGGAGCCGTGAATTTCTCCCCAAATTTGTAGGAGAAACTTAGGGTCCCCTTGGACTTGCCGCTCGGCAAACGGACGTTGTAGGTGACGAGGTTCTCCGACTTCTCGTCGCCGTAATTGTCGAGCAATTCCTTGATCGGGACGTGGACCTCGCCGATCTCCTTGTCGCCGAAACTGCGGTCGGAGACGAGCTTGATCTTGAGGGTGAGCTGGTTCTGCTTGGCGGCGGCGTCGGGGACGGTGAACTTTATGGTGTAGTTCCACCTAGGGTTTGGGCCGGAGTCCTTATCGACGTGGGTCTTCTGCTTGGATTTTGAGAAGGAGTCGCCGGAGATCGAAACGACGGCGTAGACGTCCATCTTGGAGAGGAAATTGACGTCCTTCAGGTCCGTCGCCGAGATTAAGGTTATGTCCAGAGGTCTGCACTCCATAGCTATGAGAAGAAGATCTTCTATGGGAAGGAAGGAACGAATTTGAGAATCTAATCTAAGTGTAAAGAGAGCTTTTTTTGTTTGGAGGGAAGGAAACTGAAATTTGGGGGAGAAAAGAACGGGTCTGGGAATTTAAAGTGAGGGAAAATGGGTAGGAAGGAAAATACATAGAAAGTGAAACCGACTCGGGAAAATAAAGGCTCTCTGGCTTTTTCTGGGATTCCCTAGAATAGCTCCTTAGGCGCGTCAGTTTGTTATTATTTGTTCCTTTTTCTTAGGACTCTATATGTTTATTAGATTAGATATGACATTTTTTTTTTAAAAATGGTTTTCTTTTTTGTTTCTTCTAAAATAATTTTTTGTCAAAAATTTGACGGCAAATATTTTTTAATTTTATTAAATCGTGGATATTCGTATATTTATGGGAAAAAGACGCGTACAAGGCGCGTGGTAATCGCTTGTGCTTTAAGGACGAAGGAATAAAATAAAGTGGGGGTTTATCCGGTAAACAGTCACATTGAACAATGCAAAATGAAAGCACGTTTGCAACCTCCACACGTGTGTAGGTAGGCATAAATGATATCGATTTTACTTGTAAATGTCAAAGTTGTAAGCATGTCGTTTTCTTCTAAATTCTTGATTCTTCCGTCATTACTTTATGTAGTCGGGCGGAAATAAACTTAACGAGAAACTTGGAGGTGATTTTGTTACAAGTAAACTACCCTTTATTTTTCTCATAAAAAAGAAGGAAAAAACAAACTTTGACTTCTTCTAATGTGAGTCACACATTCGGGGTGAAAAACAAAGAATATAAAGCTTTATTTTGAAAGGGGTGAAAAAAGGACAAGAATCAGCGGTCGTTAGAGTTCTTATCCTTGGGGTGTATTTCAATTTTAATTTATCATGCATTCGTGCTTTATGTAAGACAATCCAAGACCCTTTTTCCGGGTGTAAATAGATTTTCTAAATACAGAAAAGAAAAATATTCTTTGGAGCGAAAAGCATACCAAAGGAATAAAATCTTCCTTTAGTGCCGGCTTCAACAGATGGGGCGTTTATGTGGTCATTAGCAATGCCCCGCGAGACCGAATATCACAAATACGGCCACCATAGGGGCAAAACAAAACGTGTAAACGTGCCTATGAGTAATTTCAATTCACGAAGCTCAAAACAGAACTGGAGTGAGCAATGCATAACCGCAGGCCCACAGAATAGAAAGTAAAAAAAAAAAAACCAACCAAGATGCATAACATCGCTATGGCACCATATGATATCAGATTACATAGTTAAAGTATCCACAGCCAAACATCTTTTCAGCCCAAAACCATGCTTAAAAATTGGCCTCTCTATCTCGATCCTTCAGCAGCTCTTGACCCGGGAATTAGACCCCACTTCCACGTCTTTTCCCTCAATAATTGTGGAGTGCTCATATGATTTTCGCCCTTTTTAGTGTCACGCAAATATTACTCCACTTCTACACAAGCCTTGGTAGATGTATTTTTCTTTTTTGCCGAGATTGCTTTCCTTTTTACTGTTTTTTTGTTTAATCAAAGAGGATGATAAGGCACGTAGCCCAACAAACTCGTGACATTGGTCACAACATCGTTACACCTCGTCAAGAGGCTTAGCATCTGCTGGGAAATATCAACAGTGGGCGGTGCAATGGATGTTGTGTTTCTGGGAGGTGCTATCATTTCAAGATGATGTAAATTGTTAAGTGGGGTTTTTGCTAATTGAGGGGTTGGAAGAATAGGTGGGGATTGAGAAATGACCTTTTGAAAGTTTCTAACACTAAAATCCATTGCAACAGAAGTAGAAGTAGAAGATGAATTGGAAGAGGAAGGTGCACCACCATCTGGAAAACTAGCACTGTTGTTGCTGGAGTTATTTCTATTACCAGCCATCAATGACTGCTCAACCCTACTACTACTGTCTTCCCCATCCAACATGAACTTTACACGTGGGGTACCTCTACTGTTACCACTGCCTCCACCTACGCCAGTTCCCTGCTGCCCCGACTCATCGGTAGCTGCCTTCTTCAGGCAGGACTTGAGCTGGACGGCAGCCTGCGGAAGAGGCTGCTTTGTAGTGATTGATGACGGTCGTTGAAGAACAGCAGTGTCCTTGGTCCGTGTGGTGTCGAGGGAAATGTCATCTCCTTGGCCCTTCCCAGATTCAGGAGCTTCAGTCGCAGGAGCTTCAACTTCCCTAGTGTAGCACCTCATGCCTGGTGTGCCAAATAAAGAATTGTTCGCCGCTGCAAATCTACAAGCTGCTTGAGCATCTGACTTGTGCAGGAACACAACTCGGCACGTTGATGACTTCCAGAATACGCGTAGACCCGACTGATCCATAGGCCCAAAACGTGCAAATCTTGCCTTAAGTTCGGCTGGGGATGGTAGAGATGTCTTGGGAGGGAATTTCATCACCAGCATAGTGGGTTCAACTGCCCTAGCAGTATGCTCTGCTTTCTTGATGGAAACATGCTTGATTTTTCGGCCAGATGGAACTGCTGCTTCCCTTGCCTCCCCACGTGGCTCTTCAGAAGTTTTCTGGGCAGCCTTCTTTTCTGCTGCCAAAGATCTTATATCGCTCATTTTCTTGGACTTCTTGGCTGCAATCTCTTCTTGACGATCAGATGGAGCCCGTTTACGTCCAGCTATAGTTGGATCATCAGCTCTAAATGAGGGTTTCGCTGGTTTTGAGGATGGCAAATCTCTAACATGCTCAGAGGAGTTCTTTGTGGGGCGAGCTTCAATAGATTCAGCCTCTGATGGTGGTGAAAGAACCAAGCTTTTCTGGTAAACAAGAGACCGGAATCGCAAAAAAAACTTCTGTACAATTGCAGGGCTGTTTCTTTCTGCATCGTGAAAAGGATCAAGAGCAAGAGCTTGCAAATCACTCAAAAGTTGTGGAAGTTCAAGTTCAACATTTCCAATATCAACAGATGTTCCAACAGAATCTGAGAAATTGATACTAGAAGCAACGTTTTTCTTAGGTTTTTCAACCTTTAGTTCTTCTTTGGGAGCCAAACCAACAAGGGTTGATCTTCCCACTAATTTTTCCCCAGAGGGACCAACTTTTTTGGAAACTAAATTCTTCTGTGGATCTCTGAAGCTTGTTTCTGAACCTAATTGTTTCTTTTTCTTCTTCTTTCCCTCCACTGAGTTCTCAGGGGCTAATTCTTCCAACGGCCGTTTAGCTTTTGACTTTTTCACTCCACCAGCAGTACTCTTTCCACTCAAACGATTTGCATCAGTTGGTGAAGGACCAACATGGCCATCCCGAACTTCATCCATTCCATGGCTTTCTTCCACTCTCACTGTGGAATTCAACTGAGGTTGTTGAAACTGTTCATCTGATCTGGATATTTTGGCTTTCTCGTCAGGTTTAAACTCAGCCAAGCCTTCACCATCCTGTTTAGGAGATTGTGATGCACCATCTCTTACACAGGGCAGAGTTCCATTCCCTAACAAATCATTAGAGCCAACAACTCCTCTGTCTGACGCAGACCCTGATCCCTGTTTCACTTCCTCAAGAGGTCCCTTCCCCTCATCAAGAGATGGCTTTGTGTCCTCGGTAACATGTTGGGTGGCAAGAGAACTGCTTCCTAATGTTAGATCTGCGCTTATGGGTCCTCTGCCATGAGAACCTGAATCTGCTCCGCTAATGCTAATAAGCCCAGTCTGTTCATGTTTCCCTGAAATCTGAGCCTTTACAGGAACAGCTGGAGCTCTCTTCTGCAACACATAATCCTCATCCCCAGCTGCTACTGATCCATCCACACAAGCCGATGAGGCAGACGAACTTGCTTGCCCTTGGCTAATTTGATGGGCTTTTAAGTTACTCGATTCGTCTCTACGCTTGAAAAGGTACCTGTCTTTTTTGGAATTCTCCTTAGCTTTCGTATGTTTACTGGCACTTGTACCACCACCCAGAGTTTCCGCAATCACCAATGGACCACTCAAAGGAGCTGTGCAGGATGCAAACACATCAATCAGAACCAAGAAACAGAATGCAAGTTTACTAGATATTATAATCAGACAAAAGGAAAAGGGGTGTAATATTTCTCTTTGACAAACAAAATCAGAAAACACGGGAGAGAGGTCTGGGGTGGTGAAATGCCAAAACTTATGTCTTGCAAACCAAATTAATAAAACGAGAGATATACAAAATGTGTTGTAACTAGAAGCTGACGTCTAGACTAGCAAATTAAAACACACACACACACACACACACACACATATATGGGCTAGAGAGAGGGAGGGCCTAGACAAATTAATTATGTTAAAATTTAAGGGATACTCGACCAACAAAATGGACTGGACAAATAAACTGCTTGAAGACTAAGAAAATAATAGCTACTTATGCTTTGCGTGTATGTATGGTGCAATGCGTCAACAAACCTAGATAGAGATTCAGAGTAATACCATAAGTCTTCACATATGAGGTCCAACATAGCATATGTCTCATAATTAGATTAACACAAGGTTTCCCAGATCCCAGTTTTTATCCCAAATGCAGGAAATGGACAGACAGACGCACATCCACCATTACATTCTGCCCACCCACCTCATTTATAGCATTGACCAATATAGAGATGCAATTTTACCCATTTTGAGTTTCCTCTATTTTGGCCCAAATGCTTGCACATATGATACAGATTTCCTACCATGTTAACTATTAAAAGAGCTTCTTCTTAACCTGAATAGCTATCTTAATGAGTCCTATTCTTCTTATTTTGGCCCAAATGCATCACACGCACATACAATACAAATTTCCTAAGCATGTTAACCATCAAAAGAACTTTTCGTTAACCTAAATGTCTATAATTTAATCACTTCCATTCTCCTCCACAGAAAACATTGACTGATAACATATCGTTGCAATAAAAATTATCATAACAGAAATTCAAAACCTGAAACAAATGCAAAGTAACAAGCACCATCCTAAGTTAGCAAGCAAGACTATTAAAAAACTAATGAATGAATATAGCAATGTGAAGATTTGACTTTTGTAAACATGAATTTCCAAACAAGCAAAATCTAAACATTTTTCTACCAAAAAAACAAAAAAACGAACCTAGTGGCACGAATAATCACCACGTTTGCAGATTTTTCAAAGTGAAAAAGTATAAATAGCTTTCAGAAAACGCTAGTATTACCACAACAACTACTAAGATGAATAATTAACAAATCAAGGTAATGTGCAAAGCCTAACTCAAAACCAAGTTAATTAGTACCCAGAGGTGGCTGTTTAACAGGTTTAACAGGCTGGTCCGGTGAGTTAACTGGATCGCGCCGAGGGCGTCCTGGCTGCGCACCAAACGCCTGTGCATACGTCTCATCATATTCTTCAAACACGGTCTTCCTATAAGCGGACACCGTGGCCTTATTCTTATCAAAACTCACATCCTTCTCATCACCAAGGCAGGGAGACAATGCCAATTGCTTAATGAAAGACACGGCTTCGGCTGGCTTAAAACTATCCCTAGCCTTTTGAATTTGCGCCGCGGAATAGACTGCCCGTGGCTCATAATCAGGCACATCAACTACGAAATATCCTTGAACATTCGTCCCACGAAAGTTGTACGGATTCCTGCATTTACACGACAACCCAAGACTGGCCCTCCTACTCACCTCATCAACGGCCTCTTCCACGGCCTTCATGAAATTCCGCGAAGTCGTTTGCCGCGACTTCTCCGCAAAATTGGCTTCAAAAGGGACGAGCTCGGCGGGGTCAAACCATCCGTAGCTACTGTCACCAAAGAAAGCCACCAATACATGACCTTCTCTCCTGGTTCGCCGCACCTGAGGAGACGCAAATGCGTCGTTGAATATGTGGCCCGGCCACCATGGATGAGACTTCACCTTTCCCCAGACCATGTCGCCGACTTCAAACCCATAGCGCAACGCCCTACAGGTCGCTATTTGGCCGCTTTCCTCATTCGCCACAAAATCATCGAACTCGGACAACAAAGAATTGTACTGAGAACCACTACGTTTCTGCGCCTCTTTTCGATCATACTCCTCGCTTTCTTCTTCATTTTGAGCTTCTTCGCCTCCGTTGGCGCTCGAGTTTTCTTCATTAACCTCCGATTCTTTCAATTCCATTTCCTTGTAAGCTTCTCCACCATCACTCTCCTTAGATACCTCAAGCTTAACCCTAACCTCCTCCTTCTCTAATCCTCCCCTCTCCGGAACCCTAGGACCAGCCGCGGCGTCTTGAGCTCCCGGATCAAGCTCCATTTCCGAAACCCTAGCTTCTTCGGACACCCTCGAATTCGAACACCTCTCGTCGTTAGAGCCATCGACGCCGCCGCCGCCCCCTTCTGAGATCCTTCCCTTTAAATCTTCATGCTCATCAATGGCATCTGATTTTCTATCGAGTTCGCAATCGCTGTTCATCGAAGGAGATGCCAGTATAATCCTGCGAAAACCCTAGAGAAATGGAGTTTCGGGGTCCGAATGACAAGGCATATCTATTCACTGCCACAAAGAGAAAAGGAATTAACAGTAGAAGCTATTCCAGGAAGTGCAAGGACGCGTGTGATCTTGAGATGTTTAATCAAAACCCTGGAGAGAGAGCGAGTGTGTGTTTGGATGACGGGAAAATCTGGAGATTTTTGTACCGTGTTTAGAATTAGAATTGTTTTTGGCCCATTTAGTTCGCTGACTCGAATTTTTAATTTGAATTGATATGTAAATTTATATGAGAGCTTTTTACTGTAGTAAAAAAATTAGATGTGATTATTTGTAAGAGCTTTTTACTGTAAAAAAACTTAAATTTTAAACTCGAATCAGCGAAATAAACAGATAATTTATTTTTCACATTTTTTAAGAAAAACAAATAAAAGACACAATTAAAAATAAAAAATGAAAATAAAAAAGATTTTTTAATTTAGTAAAAAATATGAGAGAAGTAAAAAACATTTTTTTACTCATTTTAAGTCGTGTTTAGAATTAATCTCATTTTTATTTTTTACGTTTTTTGAGAAAGAAAAATAAAAACGTTTTTAAAACGGCGTTTGGCGCAATAAAAATAAAAAACAGAAATAAAAATAATTTTTTAGTTTAGTGTAAAATAAGAAAGAAATGAAAAAATGACTTTTAGTCGTTTTTTACTTTTTGTTTTCATTTTCTCCTCTCTAGAGTAGAGAGAGAGACATTAATAGGATTTTTTATACTGAAAATAATATCTTAATAAAACTACTAAACACATTTTCAAAAATAATTTATATTTGAGATTGAAAACGTTTTTATTTTCATTTTCATACAAAAAACAAAATTATTTTAGAACGAGTTCCAAATGCGCCCATAATTTTTTGTTTTCATTTTCTCCTCTCTCTAGCAAAGAGAGACATTAATGAGTTTTTTATATTGAAAATAATCTCTTGATAAAACTACCAAACACATTTTTAAAAAATGATTTTTGTCTCAGATTGAAAACATTTTCATTTCTATTTTCATAAAAAAAAACAATAAAAGCATTTTGAAACGAATTCTAAACGCACGCATGAATTTATTAGGTTTCACACATTTTTGGTTTTTTTTTTTTTGGTATTCTGTACATTTGTCCTTATATACTTATAATTTTAGTACTTTATCCCTCAAACTTACAAAACAATTGCATAATGGCCCATTCAGTCAATTTTGCTCTTTTTTTTTTATCTAATTTAAGAGATTGATAGATAGATAATTGAGATATTTGTGTTACATTTTATTTAGGATGTTACAATTTTCTCTTGAAATTTATTTTTTCAATACTAATTTAATACAATCATCATAAAAATAAGTTTACAATTATTTTATAGTTAAAAGACATTATCAAAATTAAAAGTTCAAAAGACAAATTGCCAAACTCTTGTAAGTTTACGTGATAAATGTACAAATAACCCATTTTTTAATATTTTTTCCGCTCATTTTTTGGGTTTTCTTACTTTTTTTTTCTTTTTTTCCTCGAATGGGAGTCTTGGGGATTTAAAAAGGAAACATTATTGCGATGCCATAAAATTACCACATGTAAGCGCGATTTTAAGAAACCTTACACGATCAAGGCCCCCATTACTTACGAGAATGGGCCACATCCTGTGGGCCGCCTGTAGGACGGGGCCTACCCGGATGAGCAATGGGGTCGTGGCACTAGCTCATTGGGATAAATAGTACCACTTCGCAGTTCTATATGACAAGAGTTCATAATATCTAGTTTTGAGGTTAATTTGACCGTGGGTTATCTATGTTTATCTGAAAAAAATATAAACGTTAAATAATGTTAACAACTTTTTTATTCCTAACCAAAAAGGAAAGGGTTTTTAGCAACATTGCTCCCTGAAATTGTAGTGTTGTAACAAATTATCCTCAAATTTTTTTATTTTAACAATTAATTCCTACAACTTATTTAACTATCGCAATTTGTCCCATTTCACGTTAAAATTAAGATTTAGAATTATAATTCTAATTCTGCATCTATCAAAATGCGCCCTTATAAATTTAGTAAAGGAATGAGACGTTTGGTTCATGGATTAGAATCATGAGATTAGAACCATTTTTGATTTACGTGTATTTTTTGTGAGAGAAAATACTGTAGCGAACTACGAACCATAATTCAAATCGGGGTACGAATCTCCCAACCAAACAACTCAGAAATCTTCTTTCCTAGAAAATTAATCATGAAGATAACAGTCAGAGTCAGTGCAGGTACAAATCTTGATGGAGTACCAAGGGATCGCAGGACTTTTTAAAAATATATATATATAATTAATAAACTCAATATATGACCATAAATTCTAATAAGTTTGATTCCTATTTGTTTCAAACTGAGTTGTCATTAAATTATTATTATTATATTTATTTGCTGGAAGATAATTAAGATATTTTTTAATTTAGCAAAAAGCGCCCGCGTGATACTGTTCAAATTAATCCTAGTACTTCTAATACCCTTCCACAAACATTTCCAGAGTTCTGCTAAAACTCGGAAACCAAATTCTAGCTCAAACTCTTTGATCTCCTCCTTTTTATACCCTCATAAGTCATAAACTTATCATAACTTTGCGTTAATTCCTAAATAGTCATAATTACTACTTCCTGATCACTTTCTCTAAACTCTCACGGTCTCACCATATCATCCTGGTGAATTACCGATCCTTGGAAACCACCATAAGTGATAGTTGGTCAGGGTTGGCCCTCAATGCCAACCGAATTCAAGAGTCGATGGAAGGATGGGCTGTAACGGAAACCCGATAGGAGACCAGAAAGGAAGCCCATTGGGAGGAAGGAGGCCAAGCCTAAGACCCAAGCCCGCAAGCTGAAACGACAAAGGCAGGGCTGCGTTTTGAGGGATAGCTGAATAATGAAGCTACGGAGGATGAGAAGGTTCCAGAGGGAGAGTCAGTTCCTGCGCGTGAGACCAGGGTGCGACGAAGACCTAGGTGGCTTAACGGTTTCGAGCTCAATGGAGGTCACTGAGGCAGCGCGAGGATCGAGGGACAACCAAGTTGTTATTCCGTTATTTTTCTTTCTTCCATTCTGTTTTATTTTGGCTGATTACTGGGTAGGGAAAATATATAAGGGAAATTCTTATATTTGGGGATAATGGATGTTCAGAAATGATTTGCTTGTAAGGGAAATTGGCACTGTCTCAAAGAGTGCTTATTTAGTAAAATTACCTATTTCACAGTATCAATTAGTGCTTTCATTGCTCAATGAGGAACGAGGACGTTACGGCGGCCATGGTAGCCATGGAAACCAGCTTCAAGCAACACTCCGACACCCAGCTCGCCAAATTCACTTCCCTCTTGGAGCAGTTCATGACCAACACTGAAACTCGTCTAAACCAACTTACCATCGCGACCAAGGGCAATCTGCCGGACGGCACAGTTGAAGAGACCCACAGCAACCCCAACTACGGCGTTCGGGGGGACTCAGATCCACGACGCCTCAATTTACACTCCATTTTGAGGACCCTGCGCGTTGACGTTCTGAGATTTGATGGTAGTAACGTTGACGATTGGATCTACAAGACCAAAAAGTTTTTTATGCTCAACCGCGTGGAACCGGACATGCGATTGGCCATCGTGTCTTTCCATTTGGATGGGGAACCTTCCACCTGGTTTCAATGGATGGAGAAGAGCGGCCTGCTAACAACCTGAGAAATTTTTTTACCCGAGCTCCGCAAGCGCTTTGGGGCGTCCATCTATGATGACCCATTAGGTCGCATTTCCAAATTGGTCCAGAGGGGAACGGTGTCTCAGTTCAGAGCCGAGTTCGAGGAACTCATGACTCGTATCTCAGGTGTTTCGGAACCCTTATTTCTCAATTTTTTCATTTGGGGCCTCAAAACGGATATTCGTCGGGAATTGTTGATTGCTCGGCCTTTGTCTTTGACAGAGGCAATGGCTATGGCTCAGCTATTTGAGGAACGGATCGATGACTTGATCCATAAGCAACGAAAGGACGGAGGACGCAATTACGAAGGACCATCACACCGTTCCGGGCCAGGGCCGATACAGGCGAACCCACGAACTGTGGTCTCAAGTCCATCTGCCGGTGTCCCACCCCAGCGAGGGGGTTTTACGTCTGCCGGGGGTTCTCGCCTTCCCGTGAAGCGCATGTCACTGGAGGAACTACGAGAGAAGAGGGAGAAGGGGCTCTGTTTTAGCTGTGATGAGAAATATCACGTTAACCATCGCTGTAAGAACCGCATTTTGCTTATGGTTGGTGCTGAGGAGGATGACAGTATGCTTGACAAGGTGGAGGTCATCACTGAGAGTATTCCAGACGATGAGGGACCTGAAGTAAGTCTTAATACTTTCTCTAATTCTACAAATCCTCATATTTTTTGTATTATGGCGAACCACGGTTTAGAGAAGTTAGAGGTCCTCGTGGACACAGGAAGCAACAATAACTTTATTCAGGAATCATTGGTGGAAAAATTGGGGATTCAATGGGAGCTAGCTAGGCGGTTTCGGGTTTATATGGGCAATGGGCAATACTTGACATGGGACAAGAGGTGTTTGGGGGTTCCGTTAGAGATGCAAGGACATTGTTTTGAGGTGGATTTATTTGTTTTGCCAATATGGGGCTAGATGTGGTTTTGGGAATGCAGTGGCTCTGTACCCTCGGGCCTTGCTTGCATGACCACAACAAGTTGACAATGGAATTTGAATCGGGGGGGTCAACAAGTTAAGCTAGGGGGAAGCACTTCGAGTACAGCCCAGTCGGTTACCTATTCCTAGCTCAATTCTTTGGTTCATGGGGGCCATGTTAGGAGAATTTTCGCTTTAACACCCACTGGGCAGATGGATCACTGTTGCAAATAATTTGACTATGCTTGCAAGTGCACAAGTCGTACAAGTAATAAAGTGGTCCGAAGACCGATATCGTCCCACGAGGATTGACGTTAAGAATGTAAACTAACTATTGTGAATATCATATCTTAATTAACTTTATCTAAGCGATCAAATTTGGATGTGATGAACTCAAAGAAAAACTAAAATAAAGGAAAACTAAATCAAAAGGAAAGATGGTAGTAATTAATAACACGTGTTGAAATTAAAACGGAAAATCAATATAATGAAAATGCTAGGGTCTTGACTTCACTCTATTGCGATTATGTTTCTCCGTAGTAATGTGCCTAACCTAACTCAACGTTCTC